CCAATATTCAAAATTTGAGATTTTTCAAATTTTTAAAACGGGATTGATTTGTACCCGATTTGTACCGATTTGTACCGTTTCAAACTCGATTTGTACCATTACCGTTTTCCAGCTATTGACCGTTAAAGATATGGCGCCAAAAATATAAAACACTCAACATTTATTTTTTTTTTAAATTTTTTAACGTACAACGGTAGAGAATTTTTTTCTCTTCCTAATGATGCCTCAAATTAAGCTTTATCTTCATTATTTATTTAGGAAATCAAATTTAAAACCTTATATTATAGCGTGAAGTTAGCCCAACCCCCACCCGATATTCAAAATAGTTTGCTTATTTATAAATAAGCATTTAAAAATGGACACATCATAAAGAATATGACTTTATTTTATATATAAATAAATATATTTGCAAAAATAAATACAATAATATATGATTTCGTTTTATTAAAGAAATATAATGATGGTTAATTTGAAGGTGTTTCTTTTGAATTTGTAGGTTATAATTCAACAGTAGTGTTTTGATTCTTTGATTTCTCCATCAATGTCTCACATTTAAAAAATTATTTACTTATTATATGATTGTAGATACAATCTAAAATAATATTAAATTTATAGATAAAAAAAATATATTTTACTGTTCAGATGGCACCCATTCCAATATAAACCTTTGGTGTAATTTATTTTATCATTGTTCATAAATATTTACTAATTTTTAGTAACCTTATCCTATATTCTAAAATTATATAAATTAATATATTCCTAAATGATATAATATCAATTAATATAATAAAAAGCCGGTTCCGATTGCTAGTTCCGGTTTTTTTCAATTTTAGTGCAAAATTATAAAATAAATCAAACTAGTTAGCTTTTTTTAACGCTTACAGTAAAAAAATCCAATATGCAATACCATCTAAAATGCATTATAAGCTCTTCAAACGGAGCGTAATAACATGTATTTTATTATCCAAATTTTATATATAATAAATCATTTATTTACAACATGTTAATGACTTTTTATTAGTTTTTATTTGTAAAAATATTTAAAATATACACAAAGCTTTACTGAAAATTCTTTTATTCCTCCTTTTTGTATTCTCATTGAAATATTAGAACACATTAATCACTATGTTATTATATTTTGTTTGCAAAAAATTAAAACATAGACAAGAGCATTAATGAAAATTCTTTTTTCCTCCTTTTGTTATTTTATTAAATATTTTTATATGAATGGGATTTAATTGAATCGTCAACAGGTTTCATTACTATATATATATTGCAGTCATATCAAATCCTATTTAAAAAATTTTTTTATGCTTAATGAAAATAAATAAATTTTATTTAACCCTGGATATAATATATATTGTCAATATTTTATTTTAGTAAATATCTGCATGCCATTTCGTCGTAATTGAAATTTTTTATATTTAGCTTCAATTTACAAGTAAGATATTTTGAACATTTAAATTATTATATACGTATCTTATTAATAAATAAATATGCTATCCAATTTATTTTGGCCTAAACCAATGATTTAGGAAATCTCAAGTATATCGTTTCACCCCGGTATTTGGGGAATGTAGGACATATTTTTGACTTTTACGAAAAATATAATTTTGATAAAATTTTCATAAGATTTTTACATGATAGATTTTAATTAAAATATATAATCATTATTATGTAAATTAAATTTTATAGTAAAGTTAAAAAAACTAATTTTCCAAAGTTTTATGAGTATTATAATATCTAATTTATAAAAAATTATGTTCATTAAATATTTTCAAATACCGGATTTGGTCTTTTATAGTGGCTTTCAATTAAAATTTATTTATAAAAATATTACAATGATTCATTTCCTTGTATTGTTCTTATTTTTATTAATTCCTTATTACCCTGGGCCCAAATAATATAGACCTAAATTTCCTTTTAAATTATTAAGATATATTACTGAAATTATAATTTAAAGACCGAAACCTTTAAAATATTTTTAAAAAATATATAATTTTTTTAAGACATGGCACCTATTAAAAAAAATAACAACTCGGAATTACTTATTCTGAAACAATACGTCAACGATTTATATCAAGAAAATGGAGAACCGCACCCACCATCCGCTAACATATGGTGTCAATTAAGTGCATGTTTATCATACTCCAAGACTCCTAAATATCTTTATATGCTTATTAAAACTGATAGGTATAATATCAGAACACAAATTGACCCATCATATTGTGAAAAGTTTTCTAAATATCTTCTTGATAATAATACTTCTGATAATGAAATAGACAATATTATACCAAGCAATAGTACAGAATCATATACTAAAAAATTCATTATAACCCTATCTTCCGATGAATGGAAAAAAATTAAACCTATTAAAAGAGTCTATAACAACAATACCACAAAAAAAGGAAGGCCATACTCTGTTTTGCAGCCCGGAATATGGGCTGATATTATACAATCTCATTTTTGGGATGTTACAAGATTACCATGTTCGATACAGTTTATTAGGGCAAAGGTGTCTGATATTGGCCCATATTATGTTGTGATGAAAGGAACATGTTCCAATTGTAAATCTAATTTAAAAGCGATTATTCTTGTACGTCCGGAGTTGGAACAGAGAGTTATAGTGAAATGCGTTTATAAAGGCCATTTTAGAGAAGGTCATGAGCTGAATAAAAAAAGGAGGTTAGCCGGCGAGACACGGGAAAATTTTGTAAATGAAATTATTAAAACTAACTCACCTTGCAGCATCTTTCGTACTCAGTTAGCTAATAAATATATGAAATTCGGTGATAGAGAGCCCGCTCATCTACCCTCAACCGAGGTTATTAGAAAAGCCAAATCTATGGCCGTTATGGCAAATCGCTACGACGAAAATCCAATTTTCGCATTAGCATTGGCAAAAAACACGATACCATATATTAACTCTATTCGAGATATAGGATTAGACAGATTTTATGTCCATTATTGGAGTAGGGAGCAAATGCAAGTTTATAAAGCTTATTGTGTAAAAACATATTCAAAAATATCTATAGATGCCACTGGTGGTGTGGTACGCAATATTGATAGACCATTTGGAAAAAAATCCGGTCCTATATTCTTATATGATATTGCTGTGAGAGATCCTCAAACAACATATCAATACTCGGTGTGTAACATGCTTTCCGAAAGGCATGATATAGATAGTATAGCTATTTGGCTAAAATTTTGGATGCGAGATGGAGCCACAGTGCCCAATGAAATAATAACCGACATGTCGCTTGCCTTGTTATCGGCTGTTTGCCTTGCTTTTACAGAATATTCATCCCTAAATAATTATATAATGGCCTGCCATTACTTTATTTTTAATCCCTCATTAATAAAAAAACCACGTTGTTATATCCGATGTGATGTGGCTCACACAATAAAATTAGTAACTACGTGGAAATGTCTAAAAGGAAAATCACGTCGTATAAGGGAATTTTATATAAGGGCCGTAGGCCAAATGATATTAGCGGAGGATATTGAAAATCTTCGAAAAACTTTATATTCAATATTTGTTATAGCATTAAGTGAGACAGAAGGAAATAATATTCACAATCCTAAAGAAATTACTCAATGTGAAATCGCAAAAAGTTGGCTTAAAGAAAAATTTGCCTTTGGAAATCTTAATATAGACTTTTCAGAAAATCAACCAGAAAAGGAGATTGATAAAATTGAGGAGCCCATATATGATATCGATTGTTTCATTGATTCCCAATTAGGTAATAATAAATTCGCGCAATGGGGTTCTGATCTTCTTAAAGAGGCTAAAAATACGTTAGAAGATCAAGGAGATCATGACAATCTTCAATATCTACCTGATATAATTACCCCAATTTTACACCTTGTAAAACTTTTACCCTTGTGGACTGCGATACTGGTCAGATATTATAAAAATGCAAACATCACAGCGTCAAGTGCTTCATCAGAGAGCAATTTTAATAATATTAAAAATAGAATATTTGCTAATAAAAGTCTTCCAATAAGAATAGATGATTTTGTATTACATCATATAAACTCCCTCAATGCTACGATGAAATTAGCAGCAGCAGGAGCTAAAAATATCCTAAACCTACCTCAACCAACAATAGATGGAAATTCATCTCTTGACGTTGTAAGTATCTTTTTTTATAAAAAAACATTTTTATTATATGATGCTTTATTAAAAATTTTAAAAATATTTGCTTTAAAAAATTAAAATGTAGGATTGCAAAGTTTTTCCTTCATCAGTTATTGCATCTATGACCTCTAAGAATCCACAAATAGTCCCAGAGGTATAAAATATTTATTATATAGATTAGAATTATGATATTGTTTTTTATAGATATTATCGACAACTCCTTCCGAATTTTCTAAAAGGCATGTAGTTTCAAATCCCTTTAATAACGGTACCATTATCATTTTTATAAATCTAATCAATTTATCAATAACCTAGATGCCAATTTGAAATTCTCTCTACCGATTGATAATATTTTGGTATCTGAACCATTTATAAACAAAAAATCTACAGATGTAAGTTTAATAGTAATTTTATTTTTTAAATTTAAAAAATATTTAAGCATTATTTTGATAACGATCGTAATGATTTATCAATAGTTTCATGCCAAACAGAAACTTCTAACTCGGTAATATAAGAAATCTTATTAAATTATAATATTTAAATATTTAGAAATTATCTACCAATCAAATATCAAGCCCCTTCCAAATTGCCTCATTTACATCATTGACCTCATCCTATAAAAATCCTCAAACAATCCCAAAGGTAGAAAATATTTATTATATAGATTAGAATTATGAAATTGTTTTTTATAGATATTATCGACAACTCCTTCCGAATTTTCTAAAAGGCATGTAGTTTCAAATCCCTTTAATAACGGTACCATTCTCATTTTTATAAATCTAATCAATTTATCAATAACCTAGATGCCAATTTGAAAATCTCTCTACCGATTGATAATATTTTGGTATCTGAACCATTTATAAACAAAAAATCTACAGATGTAAGTTTAATAGTAATTTTATTTTTTAAATTTAAAAAATATTTAAGCATTATTTTGATAACGATCGTGATGATTTATCAATAGTTTCATGCCAAACAGAAACTTCTAACTCGGTAATATAGGAAATCTTATTAAGTTATAATATTTAAATATTTAGAAATTATCTACCAATCAAATATCAAGCCCCTTTCAAATAGCCTCACTTATTGGACCTGATAAGAGTGTAAGTACTATAAATATTAATATTAAATATATCATTTTATATTTTCTAAAAATCAGAACGCAATACCTAGCATTGATACTTTAATAGAGAGGAATGCTATAGAAAATTGGCGAGGTCTTATTAATAAATCGCGGGGTAGGAGCTATATGGATCCCAATATCGATTGGCATTATATTAGCAGTGATGCAAAAGAAGACCACTATCCAATTCGCCTTCTCAAAAATGGGAATTTATGTGGATCGGTAAGTTATGAAGGAAAAAAATACATGACGACGAATACATGTGCTATAGACGCCTTTATTCAACTACTAACATCAGCCAATATAGATAGCCCTGCTTACAAAAACTATATGGCTCTAACATCCCCTTCTTTAACAAATATAGGGGAAAGTTTAACTCGTAAACATATTTTAAATGCATATAAACAACGCATTAACATTTTAAACAAATTATTTAAGGCAAATATTTTACCAAATAATGTTTACCATATTGCTGCTGAATCTAATATATATGTACTTATTAACAAAATAATAGCAATAGGTATGTTTGAACACACGACGGAAGAAAGTGTCGTGTGTTCTAAGGAGTCATGTTATAATATAATTTACAAAAATGGCATTTTATCATTTTCAATTGAACATATAAATAATATATCTAATTTAGAATCAATTATTAATGATTATTTAGCCCGTCCTATAGATAGAGGGCTATGTAATGTAAAAAAAATTTCAAATATTTCTTGTAACTATATATTATCTTCTACGTTACTTTTAAATCGTTATAATATATTATTAGAAATAACATTAAAAACGGGGCAATACCCTTTAATTGATATAAAAACAATACCAAATTATATCAAAATTGATCAAGTTATTTACACCCTTAGAGGTGTAATAGCTTATGAAGGCAATGAGCAAAACGATCCAAATATTTTAGGTCATTATATCGCTTATTGCCTACGTCGCAATAATGTATGGGAGGTTTTTAATAATTTAAAAGTTAAAAAATTTTTTAATATACCTAAAAAAATTCGACCGCATATATATATATACACTATTTGATATCCTATCATTATTATATTGAAATATATTCTCAATTTAAATTTTTATTATTTTTTATAATTTGATATAGATTTTATAAAAATATGTATTAATTTATTTTATATAAAAAATTGCATAATAATTTGGTTGTATAATCATCAATAAATGATTTATTATATATAAAATTTGGATAATAAAATACATAAATATGTTATTACGCTCCGTTTTAAGAGCTTAGAATGCATTTTAGATGGTATTGTGCATATTGGATTTTTTTACTGTAAGCGTTAAAAAAAGCTAACTGGTTTGATTTATTTTATAATTTTGCGCTAAAATTGAAAATGTATACAAAATTAAATTGTATGTATAATTTATCTCATATATTAATTGATATTATATCATTTAGGAATATATTAATTTATATAATTTTAGAATATAGTAATTGATATTATATAATTTTAGAATATAGGATAAGGTTACTAAAAATTAGTAAATATTTATGAACAATGATAAAATAAATTACACCAAAGGTTTATATTGGAATGGGTGCCATCTGAACAGTAAAATATATTTTTTTTATCTATAAATTTAATATTATTTTAGATTGTATCTACAATCATATAATAAGTAAATAATTTTTTAAATGTGAGACATTGATGGAGAAATCAAAGAATCAAAACACTACTGTTGAATTATAACCTACAAATTCAAAAGAAACACCTTCAAATTAACCATCATTATATTTCTTTAATAAAACGAAATCATATATTATTGTATTTATTTTTGCAAATATATTTATTTATATATAAAATAAAGTCATATTCTTTATGATGTGTCCATTTTTAAATGCTTATTTATAAATAAGCAAACTATTTTGAATATCGGGTGGGGGTTGGGCTAACTTCACGCTATAATATAAGGTTTTAAATTTGATTTCCTAAATAAATAATGAAGATAAAGCTTAATTTGAGGCATCATTAGGAAGAGAAAAAAATTCTCTACCGTTGTACGTTAAAAAATTTAAAAAAAAAATAAATGTTGAGTGTTTTATATTTTTGGCGCCATATCTTTAACGGTCAATAGCTGGAAAACGGTAATGGTACAAATCGAGTTTGAAACGGTACAAATCGGTACAAATCGGGTACAAATCAATCCCGTTTTAAAAATTTGAAAAATCTCAAATTTTGAATATTGGGGGAGCTAACTTCACGCTATAATATAAGGTTTTAAATTTGATTTCCGAAATAAATAATGAAGATAAAGCTTAATTTGAGGCATCATTAGGAAGAGAAAAAAATTCTCTACCGTTGTACGTTAAAAAATTTTAAAAAAAAATAAATGTTGAGTGTTTTAAATTTTTGGCGCCATATCTTTAACGGTCAATAGCTGGAAAACGGTAATGGTACAAATCGAGTTTGAAACGGTACAAATCGGTACAAATCGGGTACAAATCATTCCCGTTTTAAAAATTTGAAAAATCTCAAATTTTGAATATTGGGGGGGGGCTAACTTCACGCTATAATATAAGGTTTAAAATTTGATTTCCGAAATAAATAATGAAGATAAAGCTTAATTTGAGGCATCATTAGGAAGAGAAAAAAATTCTCTACCGTTGTACGTTAAAAAATTTTAAAAAAAATAAATGTTGAGTGTTTTATATTTTTGGCGCCATATCTTTAACGGTCAATAGCTGGAAAACGGTAATGGTACAAATCGAGTTTGAAACGGTACAAATCGGTACAAATCGGGTACAAATCAATCCCGTTTTAAAAATTTGAAAAATCTCAAATTTTGAATATTGGGGGGGCTAACTTCACGCTATAATATAAGGTTTTAAATTTGATTTCCGAAATAAATAATGAAGATAAAGCTTAATTTGAGGCATCATTAGGAAGAGAAAAAAATTCTCTACCGTTGTACGTTAAAAAATTTTAAAAAAAAATATGTGTTGAGTGTTTTAAATTTTTGGCGCCATATCTTTAACGGTCAATAGCTGGAAAACGGTAATGGTACAAATCGAGTTTGAAACGGTACAAATCGGTACAAATCGGGTACAAATCATTCCCGTTTTAAAAATTTGAAAAATCTCAAATTTTGAATATTGGGGGGGCTAACTTCACGCTATAATATAAGGTTTAAAATTTGATTTCCGAAATTAATAATGAAGATAAAGCTTAATTTGAGGCATCATTAGGAAGAGAAAAAAATTCTCTACCGTTGTACGTTAAAAAATTTAAAAAAAAATAAATGTTGAGTGTTTTTTATTTTTGGCGCCATATTTTCAACGGTCAATAGCTGGAAAACGGTGATGGTACAAATCGAACTGAAAACGGTACAAATCGGTACAAATCATTCTCTATCGACCTATTCACTTTTTATTTTTAAGTTCAAAAGTTGGGGGGCTGTCGTGAAGTTGGCCCCCCATTTTGTTCTTTGAATATCTCAAAAACGGTGATGGTACAAATCGAACTGAAAACGGTACAAATCGGTACAAATCGGGTACTAATCCCACCAACTGATAAACCATTGAAAATCAAAAATTGCGGGGCCAACTTCACGGACCTATAAGATAGTCTAATTTTATTGAGGTAGAGTAGTATTATTTAATAAATATATTTTAATAAAAATTTGTAATTTTTTTAAAATATATAAAAATTATATTATTTAAAAATATAATATATTGGGTAGGTCTATAAGTCGAAAGGCTGCATGATACGAAAGGCTAAAAAATAATATTGAAAATAAAAATAACAAAGAAAATGATTAGTGTGTAATTTGATTGATTTATTGCTTTTTTTACGAGAAAAATATTTTAATAACATTACATTATAATATATTTAAAAAATGGAAATTTTAAGATCTTTTCAATTTTTTTATTCATTCTTTGAAATAAATTGCGGTTTTAATTTTATTTAATTTTATTAATTTTGAATTTATATTTTTAATTAAATTATATTTATTTATTTAAAAAAAATGGAATATAATATATTAAAAAAATGGAAATTTTAAGATCTTTTCAATTTTTTTATTAATTCTTTGAAATAAATTGCGGTTTTATTTTTATTTAATTTTTATTTTTAATTAAATTATATTTGGTTATTTTAAAAAAATGGATTATAATATTTCAATTTTTTTATTAATTCTTTGAAATAAATTGCGATTATAATTTTATTTAATTTCATTAATTTTTAATTTATATTTTTAATTAAATTATATTTGGTTATTTTAAAATAATGGAATTTTTAAAATTATATGTATATTCTATTAAAGTTTTTTTTCAAAACTAAATTGATAATAAGTATAACTATATTGTGAGTACTGGATTAGGGAAAAGGCTAACATCTTATATGCAATTTTGAATATTTTTATATCATTGAACTCAGAATTAAATTTCCTATCTAAATATGCTTTGATGTATTTTTTTACGTTATCGGTTCAAAAAATAAATTTTAATTTTTTTTTGTGGTAAAAACGTTGGAAGGGAAAAGGCTAACATCTTATATGCAATTTTTAATATTTTTATATCATTCTACTCAGAATTAAATTTACTATCCAATTATGCTTAGATGTATTTTTTTACGTTTCCGGTTAAGCATAATTGGATAGGAAATTTAATTCTGAGTAGAATGATATAAAATTATTCAAAATTGCATATAAGATGTTAGCCTTTTCCCTTCCAACGTTTTTATTACAAACAAATTTTTAAAATTTATTTTTTGAACCGATAACTTAAAAAATCATATCAAAGCATGTTTAGATAGGATATTTAATTCTGAGTTCAATGATATAAAAATTTATAAAATTAAACTTAAGATGTAAGCCTTTTCCCTTCGAACGTTTTCGCGACAAAAATGTTATTTTTTGAACCGGAAACGTAAAAAAATACATCTAAGTATAATTGGATAGGAAATTTAATTCTGAGTAGAATGATATAAAAATATTCAAAATTGCATATAAGATGTTAGCCTTTTCCCTTCCAACGTTTTTACCACAAAAAAATTATTAAAATTTATTTTTTGAACCGATAACGTAAAAAATTATATCAAAGCATATTTAGATAGGAAATTTAATTCTGAGTTCAATGATATAAAAATTTATAAAATTTAACTTAAGATGTTAGCCTTTTCCCTTCGAACGTTTTCGCGACAAAAATGTTATTTTTTGAACCGGAAACGTAAAAAAATACATCTAAGCATAATTGGATAGAAAATTTAATTCTGAGTAGAATGATATAAAAATATTCAAAATTGGATATAAGATGTTAGCCTTTTCCCTTCCAACGTTTTTACCACAAAATAATTATTAAAATTTATTTTTTGAACCGATAACTTAAAAAAATACATCAAAGCATATTTAGATAGGAAATTCAATTCTGAGTTCAATGATATAAAAATTTATAAAATTAAACTTAAGATGTAAGCCTTTTCCCTTCGAACGTTTTCGCGACAAAAATGTTATTTTTTGAACCGGAAACGTAAAAAAATACATCTAAGCATTATTGGATAGGAAATTTAATTCTGAGTAGAATGATATAAAAATATTTAAAATTGCATATAAGATGTTAGCCTTTTCCCTTCCAACGTTTTTACCAAAAAAAAATTATTAAAATTTATTTTTTGAACCGATAACGTAAAAAATTACATCAAAGCATATTTAGATAGGAAATTTAATTCTGAGTTCAATGATATAAAAATTTATAAAATTAAACTTAAGATGTTAGCCTTTTACCTTCGAACGTTTTAGCGACAAAAATGTTATTTTTTGAACCGGAAACGTAAAAAAATACATCTAAGCATAATTGGATAGGAAATTTAATTCTGAGTAGAATGATATAAAAATATTCAAAATTGGATATAAGATGTTAGCCTTTTCCCTAATCCAGTACTGACAATATCGTTATACTTACTATCAATTTAGTTTTGAAAAAAAACTTAAATAGAATATACATATAATTTTAAAAATTCCATTATTTTAAAATAACCAAATATAATTTAATTAAAAATATAAATTAAAAATTAATGAAATTAAATAAAATTATAATCGCAATTTATTTTAAAGAATTAATAAAAAAATTGAAATATTATAATCCATTTTTTTAAA